AACTTTGATCCTCAGATCTCAGCCTCGTGAGTAGCTAGAATGATAGACAGGCGTGAGCCATCAGTGCCTAGTTATAGCTAGGACTATAGGCCTGAGTCATCAGCACCCAACTAGTATTTAAAATCTTATTCTCCACACACGTGTGTGTGTGTGTGTGTGTGTGTGTGTGTGTGTGTGTGTGAGAGACAGTACTGGTGCTGAAACTCAGTGCCTGGGCATGGTTCCTTTTTTTTTTGTCGGTCGTGGGGCTTGAACTCTGGGCCTGGGCGCTGTCCCTCAGCTCTTCAGCTCAAGGCGAGTGATCTACCACTTGAGCTACAGCGCCACTTCTGGTTTTCTGGTGGTTTATTCGAGATAGGAGTCTCACGGTCTCTCCTGCCCGGGCTGGCTTTGAACAGCAATCCTCAGATCTCAGCCTCCTGAGTAGCTAGGATTACAGGCGTCAGCTGTGGATCTTGAACTCTGGCCCTGGGCGCTGTCCCTCAGCTCTTCAAGGTAAGCGCTCTACCACTTGAGCCACAGTACCACTTATGGTTTTCTGGTGGTTCATTGGAGAAAAGAGGCTGACAGCCTTTCCCGCCTGGGCTGGCTTTGAACCGTGATCCTCAGATCTCAGCCTCCCGAGTAGCTAGGATGACAGGTGTGAGCCACCAGCGCCCGGCTGGTCCCTTAGTTTTTGTGCTCAAGGCTGGGTCTCTACAACTTAAGCCTCAGCTCCATTTCTATTTTGTTTTGCTTTTGGCTGGTTAAATGGAGATAAGAGTTTCAGAAAATGTTCTACCTTGGCTGGCTTTGAACTGCTATTCTCAGATTTCAGCTTCTTGAATAGCTAGGATGACAGATGTGAGCCACTGCCAAGACTTTTTTTTTTTTTTTTGCTGGGCCTGGGCGCTGTCCCTCAGCTCTTCAGCTCAAGGCTAGCACTCTACCACTTGAGCCACAGCGCTACTTCTGGCTTTTTCTGCTTATGTGGTGCTGAGGAATCGAACCCAGGGCCTCATGCATGCAAGGCAAGCACTCTACCACTAAGCCACCTTCCCAGCCCACTGCCAAGACTCTTCAGCCCTGGCCTTGGAAGTCTCACAGTGTCATGCCTTTGCCTTCTCTGATCAAAGCCAGCCCTATGGCTAGGCTGGACTCTGAGGGCTGAGGAATGGAAGGTCCTTTCCAGACAGATGCAGTGCTTCACCGGAGCTCATTATTAAAGGCAAGGACTCTACCACTTGAGCCACAGCGCCACTTCCAGTTTTCTAGTGGTTTATTGGAGATAAGAGTCTCATGGACTTTCCTGCCCGGGCTGGCTTTGAACCTTGATCCTCAGATCTCAGTCTCCTGAGTAGCTAGGTTGACAGGCGTGAGCCACTGGTAACCGGCTGCAACCTGCTCCTTTGACCTTCCTAACTAGGAGAGGTCTTTTCTAGGTCTGTGGTATGTGGCTGGGTATGTGGCTCAGTGGAGGATACTTTGTCAACTATGCTGGAGTCCCTGGGTAGTAATGGGGGAAGAAAAAAAAAAGCTGGTGGGCTGGGAAGGTGGCTCAGTGGTAGAGTGCTTGCCTTGCATGCATGAGGCCCTGGGTTCGATTCCTTTGCACCACATAAGCAGAAAAAGCCAGAAGTGATGCTGTGGCTCACCTGGTAGAGCGCTAGCCTTAGGCCGAAAAGCTGAGAGACAGTGCCCAGGCCCAGAGTTCAGGCCCCAGGACCACCATCACCAACAACATAAAAGCTGGGCACAAAGGCTCATGTTTGTAATCCTGGCTACTCAGGAGGCTGAGATCTGAGGATCACCGTTTAAAGCCAGCTCAGGCAGGAAAGTCCTAGAAATTCTTATCTCCAGTAAATAACCAGAAAAAAACAAAGCTGGAAGTGGAGCTGTGCTCAAATAGTAGAGCGCTCACCTTGAGCACAAAAGCTCAGCACGCAGTCTTGAGTTCAAGCCCCAGAACCAGCACTTGTGCGTGCGCATGTATGCATGCGCATGCGCGCGCTAACACACAGAAGTTCCCAAGCACCAGTGGCTCATGCCTGTAGATCTAACTGCTCAGGAGACTGAGATCTGAGGATCATGGTTTGAAGCCAGCCAGGACAGAAAAATCCCTGAGACTCTTCTTGCCAGTCAACCAACACAACACAGGAAGTGGAGGTGTGACTCAAATGGTACAGCACCAGCCTGGATTGAAAAAAAACCAAGAGAGAGTTTGAAGCTTCAAGTTCAAATTCAAGTAACCAGCTCTCCAAACGGAGGGCCCTAATTTCCCAGGTAGTCCTACAGCTTGCTCTGTGCAACCAGAAAATAAGACCCATCTTTCCCAAGGGCTGGCTGGGCTTAAGAAGGGAGAGAAAATGTCTGTGTCCCTCAAAGGAAAAGATTAAAAGGAAGGGCATAGAGCTTGCTGACAGGCCAACTGAAAGTACAGCCCGCCAGGACGGTTCTGACAGAGCTTTCCTTAATCAGCAGAGGATTCCAAGAATTCTGAGTTTGGGGTCAAATCTCTGTGAGGCTCCCGGGTTCTGTAAAGCCGGTTAAGACTTTGCCCCAGGTTTCTCCCGTGAAATCAGGCCCTTTGCTGTTGCCTGGAGGGCCAAGTGAAGTATCAAATGCAGGGCCTTAGGAACTAAGTTCCCCTATTGCTTTGGGCATTTATCCAATAGGAAATAGGAAGATCCTGAGGCTGCTCCATTTTGCCTGGCAACGAAGTGGCGTCTCCACCTAGTGGCCAGCAGGGGGACTGCGCTTTGCTCCCAGGGCAAACATTGAGCTGGGTGAGTGCCCGGTGGTCTTTTTTTCTGTGTGTGTGTGCGTGCACGCACGCGTGTGTACATGTGTACATTGTAGTAATTAGGGCTTGAACTCAGGGCCTGGGTGCTGTCCCTGAGCTTTATCCCATTAAGGTTAACACTCTACCTCTTGAGCCAGTTTCCCTTACAGATTTTTGGTAGTTAACTGAAGACTTTCCTGCCTGGGCTGGCTTTGAACTGCGATCCTCAGATCTCAGCCCCCTCAGTAGCTAGGATTACAGGCTAAGCCACTGCTCCAGGCTCTGGAAAGTTTTTTTTCCCCCTAATTTTTGATACTAGTCCCTGCACTGGTGGGTCTGGGTGGGGTGGAAACAGTTCCTGGGAGGGAAGGACTTTCTTCTTTAATCCACTTTTGGAAAGAAACTGGGGTCTCTTCCAGCTTCATTTTCAACAATAAAGAACTTCAAACTACTGGGTGCCGGTGGCTCACGCCTGCCATCCTAGCTACTCAGGAGGCTGAGCTCTGAAGATCACGGTTCAAAGCCAGCCCAGAGCAGGAGAGTCACTGACACTCTTACCTCCAATTAGCCACAAAAAGTCAGAAGTAGAGCTGTGGCACAAGTGGTAAGAGCCCTAGCCTTAAGTTAAAAAAAAAAAAAACCTCAGGGGCAGTGCCACCTAGGCCTGGCACAAAGAAAAAAAAGGAAAAAGAGAATAAAGGCTGTAGGTCACGAGGCTGTCAGCAATGTTCACATTACCACCGGCCCCTAATCTCGTACCTCATGGCTGCTGCTTGACTGTAGTTCCCTCCTTTTGCACCTAGGTCTGGGCTGAGAGCAGGATTCCAGTTTCCTTCCTTCCTTCTCCCAGGGCTGAGTCCAGGGTCAGGCCAGCCTCACTGCATTGATTCCTTACCCTCCTGTCTCTGCCTGGTTACTCAGCACAGCCCCATCGTGCCAGCACTCTGGCACGAAACTCCAGAGAATGGCAAGCTGAGACCTCACGCTTGGGCTGAGTGGAGTCATGTTCTAGAACCATCGACAGCAAGGGTTGGACGAAGGGCTCCCGAGGTCTTAAGGTCCTAACTCTTTCCCTTTTTTTTTTTTGGGTCCGGTCGTGGGGCCTGGGCGCTGTCCCTCAGCTCTTCAGCTCAAAGCTAGCGCTCTACCACTTGAGCCACAGCGCCACTTCCGGCTTTTTGCTTATGTGGTGCTGAGGAATCGAACCCAGGGCCTCAGGCATGCAAGGCAAGCGCTCTACCACTGAGCCACCTTCCCAGCCCCCGTCTTGTATGTGTGCTGGTACTGGAGCTTGAACTCAGGGCCTTGAGCTTTTTTTTTTTTTTTGTCGGTCGTGGGGCTTGAACTCTGGGCCTGGGCGCTGTCCCTCAGCTCTTCAGCTCAAGGCGAGCGCTCTACCACTTGAGCTACAGCGCCACTTCCGGTTTTCTGGTGGTTTATTGGAGATAGGAGTCTCACGGTCTCTCCTGCCCGGGCTGGCTTTGAACCGCGATCCTCAGATCTCAGCCTCCTGAGTAGCTAGGATTACAGGCGTGAGCCACCAGCGCCCGGCTAGGGCCTTGAGCTTTTGTGTAACTTTTTGGCTCAAGATTCTTGTTGCCTGAGCCACAGCTCCACTTCCCTTGTGTGCGCCTCAGTCCTGGGGCTTGGACTCCAGGGCCTGGGGACTCTCTTGAGAGTTGGTTGTAGGGCTTGAACTCAGGTTCTGGGTGCTGTTCTTGAGGCTTTTTTGCTCCAAACTAGGGCTCTACCACTTTGAACCGCAGCTGCATTTCTGGTGGCTAACTGGAAATAGGAGTCTCATGGACTTTTCTGCTCAGGCTGACTTTGAACTGTGATCCTCAGACCTCAACCTCCTGAGTAGCTAGGATGACAGGTGTAAGCCACCAGCACCTGGCTCCCTGTTACTTCTGGGTCATGGAAAAGACTTTTCCAAGAACCACCAGGTCTCTGATTATGTCCCGTGGGTGTCTAGGCAGAAAAAGCCCTTGTGGGGAGGGAAGCAGAGATGGCCAGTCCCGAAGTGGGGAGGGAAGCAGAGATGGCCAGTCCCGAAGGGAGGGCCTTGGGGCACTGCCCTTGTCTTGGCTTCCTGTCTCCTCCTTGTACCCTGCGGTCCGCCACACACCAGCAGAATGCCTCAAACACACACAGACCCTCCCAGGTCCATCTGTATCTCCTACATTAAGCCCTGGAGGAGCAGCTGAGCGGTATGAAAGATAAATCAGATCCCACAGTGCAGGGTCCCAAGCTCCAGGTCTGCAGCGCTGCAGGCCGGCTCGCAGAAGATTCTTTATTTGGACCATTCATTGACCAGGAAACAGAGCCTGAGTGTGCATGCACGCGCACGCGCACATACACACACACTCACACCCATGCACACACACAGGTGGCTCACAGGCCTGGGAGGGGACGGGCAACGGGTGGAGGCGGCCACGGCAGTGGTGGGGCTTCTTTAACCCAATGGAGAGGCCTCGCACACAGCATTTCCTGCAATTCCCATTCTAAAGCCACGGGGGGGGGGGGGGGGGGAGGGGGGAACCCTCCACGTTCAGCCAAGTGCCAGGCTGTAACACAGAGGTGATCAGAGAAACCTGGGGTTTGGGGTGGGGGAACACGCTTCCTCTCTGTGGAAGCGGGAGGCTACCCCAAGCTCCCAGGCTTCCCGGGGCTCCCTGACACTGGGGCTCCTGGTGGGGTGGAGGAGCAACCCCAGCAGTTGACCGGTAGGCTGCTGCCCAGGAGGGTGGACAGGTAGCAGGTAACCCTTGGGCCAGCGGGCATGTGGCAGGAGGGGAGCCTGGGTTTTGGCCCTTCTGGGAGAGGAGGGCAGGGTCTTTGTGGGAGCCCCCTGTGACCTTCCAGGCAGAGGCTCCCGCTTATTCCCCAACTTGTCTCCTCGCCGCCCCCCTCCCGGCCCCGGCCCCCTGGCTGCTGCAGATCTTAGCACCATAGGGACTGTAGGGACAGGCCACAGGGGTGAAGCCGCTATTAGGGGCAGAAACCTGCACCAGGCCACCAAGGCTCAGGAAGGCCGGTGTGTGTTGGCGGGCAGGTGGATGTCACGCCAGCTCCAAGAACACGCGTGACAGCCCTTCTCCTTGGCTGCTGCCAGCCCCACCAAACCTCAAGGCTCCACAGGCCAGGCCTGGTGCGTGGGGACAGCTCTTAAGGAAAGACAGGTGTTGGGGGGGGGCCAAGACACGTGGCTTAGAGGGGCAGGGGAAGAGCAGCCTCCACGCTGCCCCCAGCCCTTCCTCTCAACACCCGGGCCTCTACTGTTGTGACCTCCTGGGCCCAAACCAAGGAGTGGACCCATCAGAAACTCCCTGCCATCCGGCTCTGCCTTGTGCTCTGCCTGCTCATTTTCCAGGGCCTGCCACAGTGGCAGGAAGTTGGCTCCCGGTGGTCCCACGGGAGGGGGCAGGCCGAGGCTGGGCAGAAACACCTCTAGGCTTCCAGGGTGTCTTGGGAGTCCTTTGAGATGTGTTGCTTCTGTGCTGGAATCTGGCCCAAGGGCAATGTGGCTGTTTTTGGCGATCTGTAATTGGAGACAGCACAGGTTCAGCACGGGCCTGCAATGGCAGCCTACCTCAGTAATGTCGGCCTCCTAGTAAGCTAGAACAAGAAGCAAGATGCTTTCTGTACCTGACATGGCGCTAGGTGCGCATCCTCCATCACCCCGTTTTTGTTTTTCTGTTTTTTGTTTTGGTCAGTCGTGGGGCCTGAACTCTGGGCCTGGGCGCTGTCCCTCAGCTCTTCAGCTCAAGGCCAGTGCTCTACCACTTAAGCCACAGCGCCACTTCTGGTTTTCAGATTTCAGTCTCTTGAGTAGCTAGGATGAGAGGCACATCACCCCATTTCTTACTGAAAGCAAGTCATCCACTGGATGATGATGATTATTTTTGTCAGTCCTGGGGCTTGAACTCAGGCCTAGGCACTGTGCCTGAGCCTCTTTGTGCTTAAGGCTAGAGCTCCACCACTTGAGCCACAGTGTCACTTCCGGTTTTTGAGTGGCTCAATTGGAGATAAGAGTCTCACAGGGACTTTTCTGCCTGGTCTGGCTTGGAACTGCTATCTTCAGATCTTGGCCTCCTGAGTAGCTAGGATGACAGCTGTGAGCCACCAGTGCTTTTACTTAAAAAAAAAACAAAACATTTTTTGCCATTCCTGGGGCTTGAACTCAGAGCCTGGGCACTGTCACTGAGCCTTGTTGTACTCAAGGCTAGCAACCTACCATTTGAGCCACAGCGCCACTTCCAGCCTTTTCTGTATATGTGGCACCGAGGAATTGAACCCAGGGCTTCATGCATGCTAGGCAAACACTGTACCACAAAGCCACTTTCCCAGCCCCTGGAGCTCTTACTTTGGAAGGGAGGACCCAGGGTAATGTTGCTCTGGGGTCCTGCTGCAGCCTCGGCTACCCAGACAGGGCCTGTTGCTGCTGAGTAAATACTGGCTAGAGAATGAACATTGATCTTTACAGGCAACCTGCTGCCTCTGGCAGCTTCATAAATCCTCTGGCTCTTGTGCCGTCTGGAAGGTATAGCCAGTGAGTTCCATTTGGTGGAGGCAGAGGAAATGAATGGGGCTGGGAATCAAATGGGTAGGAATTCTTGCTCTAAATCTAGGTAACTAGAGGACCCTGCTTTTTTGGGGGGGCGTTGGTCATGGGGCTTGAACTCTGGGCCTGGGCGCTGTCCCTCAGCTACTCAGCTCAAGGTCAGCACTCTACAACTTGAGCCACAGCGCCAACTTCTGGCTTTTTCTGCATATGTGGTGCTGAGGAATCTAACGCAGGGCCTCATGCATACAAGGCAAGTACTCTACCCCTAAGCCACCTTCCCAGCCCTCGGGCTAGTTTTGAACCTCAGTCCTTCAAGTTTAAGCTTACTGAGTAGCTAGGATTACAAAGGCGAGCCACCAGCTCAGGTTGGGGCTTTGATCTTACACAAGTACAGGCTCAAAGAAGCACTGGTCACTTGAGTCAGGGTCTTGTTATATAGCTGCCCTCAAACTCCTGATCCTCTCTCAGCCTCTTCAGTGTGGAGATTACAGGTGTGCACTACCACACAGGACTAACAGCCGCATTTTCAACTCTGAGTAGTTTGCGTGCAGGACTCTGGCTGGCTCTAGGTTTCTACCGAAACTGTCTCCAGCCAAGTTGCAAGGGAGTTATGCCAAAATACTGTGTGAGCGCCAGGCTGGGCTGCTGGGGCTTATCTAAAATTTGTACTTAAAATCAGCCCCCAGTGCTCTGCAAACTAAAGATACCTCCAAGGAAGGAAGAAGATCAGACAGTGTGGGAGGAGCAAACCCAGGCAGGGTAGACAGAGCCAAAGATATTTTTTACTCCAATGCGCTGTATTTTCACCATCTTTCCTTCGCTTGGCTCAATGAGTAACATCCGCCAGGGCTGTTGCAAACGTAACCCCAGCGAATCTGCCTGGCATGTGACTTCCTGCTCACCTGGCCCTCCACCTGGCTGTCTCCTCCATCAGAACACCACGGTGAGGGGGAGGGGCTGGTGACTTGGGGGGGGGGGATTTTCCCCAGCGGTGGATCAGCAAGTGGAAGAATATGGCCTGATCTGGTTTGCGGCCTGTAGGGGGAGCTCTTGTCCCTCTACAAGGACCAGCTGGAGGTGAGATGGGGGTGGGGGGGGAGGCAGGGGAAGGAACAGCTTTCTGGAGTCAAACTGCTAGGGACCAGGAAAGCCACAAAGGAAACCATCCAAGCTTCTCTACTAAAACCTTCGGCCCAGCAGGTCCAAAGAGGAAAAAGAGAGGAGACACTTTTCCTGCTAACTGATTCAGCTGCTGACTGAGAGAGGCCACAGCATTCCTCTTAAACGGGCAACTCCCCCGGCTTTGTTCTGTCTCAGAAGCCCCAAGCTCCTGCCGCAGGCCCTGGCCGTTTCAAAGGCTGCTTACTCACTGGTTCTTGTGTTTGAAGCCGCTGACGTGAGCCTGGTACTGCTCGATGGAGTTCAGGACTATCTTACACGTCTTGCAGGGGTAGCCTTTCCCGGCTGAAACACACCAAATCCGGAGAGGACGTCATCAGGCTGCTTTTCAGGCCTGAGAACTTGGGGGGATGAGGGGGCGGGGGGGGGGTGGGGAGGAGGCAGAGGTGGCTGCCTAGAACCCCAGACGCCTCCATGCTCTGGAATTCTGGGTCTGTACTTGTCCCCCAGGCCCAGTGAACCACCTGCCCGGCCTGTCACAGCAGTAATTCATGCACACATCTGTCAGGAAAATCAATCGATCTGTCCTTTTGGGGCTCAAAGACGGCCTGGCTCACTCCAGGGCTGTCCTGATGACCAGGTGGCCCTTTTCCAAATGGCTGGGCTGTGAGTGGAGCCAGGACAAGAGCCTGGCGTGCAGGCTCTGTCTGCACAGAACCAGGCTGATCCTCTCCCTCCCCTGACAGCTTTTCTGGACCCCAAACCAAGTGTGCAATCCTTCTTGGCTTTTGCTTATTGAAGTTCCCTGCCTGGTCTCTCTAAGGCATCTGAGCTCGTGAAATCCTACTTTACTAGTTTTGTTGCTTGTGGGGCTTGAACTCTGGGCCTGGGCGCTGTCCCTCAGCTCTTCAGCTCCAGGCGAGCGCTCTACCCCTTGAGCCACAGCGCCACTTCCAGCTTTTTCTGCTTATGTGGTGCTGAGGAATCGAACCTAGGGCCTCACGCATGCGAGGCAAGCGCTCTACCACTGAGCCACCTTCCCAGCCCCAAGTGCTCTATCATTTGAAGCCACAGCATCACTTCCTACAAATCCTACTTTAGAAGACCCAAGGAGAAGCATGCACTTGGGCTGGTCCAAGGAGTACTCTCCCCGACCCTTGCAGTTCAAAACCTGCCCCAGCTCTGGGTGTGGGCCTCCTCACCTGTTAAGTCGGTGACGGCAGGGTCTGCCAGCCGCCCGTAGTGTGCCATGAGTTTGAGCTTGGTCTCCTGTTTCCTGTGTTTCTTGCCCACATAGTGTTGCTGAGCCATGGCGGGGTCGTTGAAGGTCGCGTGGCAGAGGCTGCAGAACTTGTCTGGGTCTATCATCTCTCTACTCTGGTGCAAGGCTAAGGTGGAGGCCACAAGGAAAGGATTTATAAGGCGTTTCGACAGAGCTGTGGCGAGAGAGTTCAAACAAACAATGAAGACCCAGAAGGCACCGGGCTTTTGAGTACAGTGAAGAACAACACAGCAGGATGGCTACTTCATCACACAGGCAGATGAGGCCCTGCTACTGTCGGGCACACGATACGATGTGTGAGTGGGGAAAGTGGACAGGGTGGGGAGGGAATCCAGAGAGCAGCTAACTTGTTCAACAGCATTGGCTACTCTAGGTGGGGATCCTGGTTTCCTGGTTCCCCGGACACAGCTCTGATTTCTGCCATGGAATTGCCTAACAGACCAGGCATGCATGCTGCATGCTCGTGGTCTTTTCAACCCTTAGGATTATCCTGAAAGTTCAAAGACAGTGGGTCTTGAGCTCTGGGCCTGGGCGCTGTCTCTCAGCTCTTCAGCTCAAGGCTAGTGCTCTACCACTTGAGCCACGGCCCCACTTCCGGCCTTTTTTGCTTAAGTGGTGCTGAGGAATCGAACCCAGGGCCTCGTGCATGCAAAGCAAGCACACTACCATGGAGCCACTTTCCCAGCCTCAAGGTTGGGAATCATATTCCTGACTGCAGAGTGCCCCAGTTACAGAGCAGGGACCGATGCATTAGTGTAGACGCAGGCTCAGGCAGCCATATTGGATGTGCCTTTTAGGCTACATCGCAGGCAGAGTGAGGAAGAGCAAAGATTCCATTTATAGGGACACATTTGTTTGGGCCAGTCTTGGAGCTTGAACTCAGGGCCTGGGCACTGTCCCTGAGCTTCTTTTGCTCAAAGCTAGCACTCTACCATTTGAGCCACAGTACCACTTCCAGCTTGTTTAGGTGGTAGTAAGGAATCGAACCCGGGGCTTCATGCATGCTAGGCAAGCGCTCTACCGCTGAGCCAGTGTGTCCCAGCCCAGGGACACACTTTGTACATACATTTTACCCTGCTCTGGTCTTTAGAACTACTCCTATGAGGTATGTTATCGCTTTGGCATATGACAGAGAAAAATCAAGGGCCAGACAGGTACAATGACTTGCTCAATAACAGCGGGGAGCAGACAGGAAAGCTAGGCGCATGCGTTCACCTTCAGGGGACACCTGACCACTCCAGGGAATCAGCTGACCAGGGAGTCAGCTGACCGGAGCCTAGTCTGGGCAAGTGCAGATCCCAATGCTGAACGTTGCTGCTGCTGCCATCTTACATGGATTACACGACTTGTAAAGGAGTCCATGTGGCTGGTACGGTGTGAATACAGCCACACTAATAGAAATGGGGGACCTGGAGCCCCCATGGGTGGTGGAGGAGGGGAGGGGCTCCAAAGCACTCCCAGAGGGATGGGATGGCTTAGATATTCTGTCACCTACAGACTACTTCCACTGGGGACGATTTTAGGGTTTCGCCAGCTAGCTGGAACCCGCTGCCTGGAACCTGCTAGCTTTCCCCGCAGTTTTTCCTTTACAGAAATCTTAATGTCGGGCTGGGAAGGTGGCTCAGTGGTAGAGCGCTTGTCTTGCATGCCTGAGGCCCTGGGTTCGATTCCCCAGCACCACATAAGGAAAAAGAAAAAAGCCGGAAGTGGAGCTATGGCTCAAGTGGTAGAGCGCTAGCTTTGAGCTGAAGAGCTGAGGGATAGCGCCCAGGCCCAGAGTTCAGGCCCCACGACCGGACCCAAAAAAAAAAAAAAAAAAAGAAATCTTAATGTCCCTTCAGCCAGTTTCAAAAGTAAAGTACATGGGGTAGAATATTCTACAAGAAAATATTTAGTTCGTAATGTATAAAAGGGGGGGAAAAAGCAAGTATAAAGCAAGTTGTTTCTGATATCCTCAATTTCATTAAAAAACATGGAAAAAAGATCAAAGGCATAAAGAATAAAAGGTATTTTACCATTTTTTTCTACATTAAAAAAAATGCTGGTATCGGGGCCTTGAACTCAGGGCCTGGAGAGTTGTCCCTTAGCTCTTTTGCTCAAGGCTACTCTACCACTTGAGCCACACCTTCACTTCTGGGGTTATCTGGAGGTAAGTCTTGAGTAGCTAGGATTATAAGCATGAGCTACAGCACTTGACCTGAAGGCAGATTTTTGACATCAGAGAGATAAATAATGATGTGTATGTGTGTATGTATATATATATATATATATATATATATATATATATATATACATACACACATACACATATATATGTTTATGTGTGTATATATATATATATATATGTATATATATACTGCCTTAGCGTGCTGGGATCACAGGAGTGAGTCCAGCTAAGGTCATTCTTTAAAACATACTGAAGGAAAGCACCAGAGGTGAAAGGTTAAGGAAAGCTGGAGTGGACATCCACAAAAAAATCAGAACTGTTGTTTTTCTCTCAAGAAATACCCTGAAGCCGGGCACTGGTGGCTCACGCCTTTCATCCTAGCTACTCAGGAGGCTGAGATCTGAGGATCACGGTTCAAAGCCAGCCCGGGTAGGAGAGACCGTGAGACTCCTATCTCCAATAAACCACCAGAAAACCGGAAGTGGAACTGTGGCTCAAGTGGTAGAGCGCTCGCCTTGAGCTGAAGAGCTGAGGGACAGCGCCCAGGCCCAGAGTTCAAGTCCCACGACCGACAAAAAAAGAAATACCCTGAAATATGGAAAGAATGTTCTAGGGATGTGACCTATAGGAGTCTTTATTATACAAGAAAAGGAGGAATGCTTACATGTAGCATGATACATGTAGTCACTAAACCTGTTTACAAAAGTTTTCACTAACATGGGTAAATGTGTCATATTAAATAAAAAATATGTAACAGGTAACAGTATCTATAATACGGCCATGCCACAGTTAATAGACCCTGCAATCTATACATATATATATATACACATACACACACATATGTATGTACATATGTCCTGGCATATTGAAATGTCATCCCCCTATTAACGATGCTTCTCTTTCTCTCTCTCTCTTTTTTTTTTTTGCCAGTCCTCAGGCTTGAACTCAGGGCCTAGGAGCTGTCCCTGAGCTTTTGTGCTCAAGGCTATAGTGCTCTACTACTTGAGCTACAACTCCATTTCTGGCTTTTTATGGTTAATTGTAGATATGAGTCTCATGGACTTTCCTGCCTGGGCTGGCTCTCAACTGTGATCCTCAGATCTCAGGTTCCTGAGTAGCTAGGTGTGAGCCACTGGTACCTGACTAACAGTACTTCTCTTGATAGTAGGATCTGGGTGATATTTTGCTTTCTTTTTTATTTTTATTTATTTTTTATTTATTTATTTATTTATTTTTTTGTCGGTCGTGGGGCTTGAACTCTGGGCCTGGGCGCTGTCCCTCAGCTCTTCAGCTCAAGGTGAGCACTCTACCACTTGAGCTACAGCGCCACTTCCAGTTTTCTGGTGGTTTATTGGAAATAGGAGTCTCACGGTCTCTCCTGCCCAGGCTGGCTTTGAACCGTGATCCTCAGATCTCAGCCTTCTGAGTAGCTAGGATGACAGGCGTGAGCCACCAGCGCCCGGCTTGCTTTCTTTTTTATAGGTTGAAGTGTAATTATTCATGATGAATGTATTATTTTATAAAAACAGTATTTAACATCCTACATTTATATGTATACACACGCGGAGTCAACTTAAGAGATATGTAGAACAAACAAACAGATATACATGCATAAACATAACAAAAGATTATAGGAGGAACAATTTTTCATGGATCTCTTAGAATCACAAAATTATGATAGTTTTTCTTTCCATCTATTTATATTCTCTCTATATATTTGCCCTACAACTGGGGGCCTGGGCACTGTCTCTGAGCTCAAGGCTAGTGCTCTACTACTTTGAGCCACAGCACCACTTCTGGTTTATTGGTGGTTAATTAGAGATAAGAGTCTCACAGACTTTTTTGCTCAGGGTGTCTATGAACTTCAGTCCTCAGATCTCAGCCTCTTGAGCTGGGATTACAGGCGTAAGCCACCAGCACCCAGCTCTTCTCTTTATTTTCTATAACATGCTAGCTACATTACTTTCAATTAGACATGTTGAATTTCAGGAACAGTTATAAACTTGTGAAATAACATGACATGGCATTTCATGCCATGAAATATCCAAGTAAATAAAAGCAAAAGCAGGGTGAGGGGTTCTGAGTGCACCATGAAAACAGCTATGTAAATAAATACATAGCTATATATAGCAAAGGTTGAAAGCAATTATGGAGAATACTCTGTTTAGTATGGAAGTTTTAGAATCGGATATGTTCGAGCATTTCCTCAGTTGTGGAAAGACAAGTCTAAGGCCTAATAAAGTCCAATTCTTAAGCTAATTTCCCTTGGCTTTCTGCTTAAACATTATGGTACAGGGTTGGTACCAATGCTGACTTGAAACAAAACTTGTCTAAGTTAACGATGACTTGACCATAAGCAAGACTGATGGACGTGCTGTAGGTGGTGGTCAACAATTGCCATTTGAGGGAACTCCACTCGCTAATTTAATGGTGACAATAATGTGAATAATCACAATAAATAATGGCAATAATAATGCCTGCCATTTAGTGAGTATCTATTATGCCCTGGGTGTTTAATAATTATGGTTGCCTCACCATCTACAGATTAACAGTAAAATTAAAATTAACATTTTACAGGAAACTCAGACACGAAAGTCATACAAATGGTAAATAACAGGATCAGGACTGAAGTCTGGTCCACAGCGACTTCAAAGTCTCTGTCTGATTGTTTCAGAGTATGAATAACTACATTTGGGTGTGCTAAGCGAGGATGTAATTATGAATAGATTTTCTACCCTATCTTCAAAGTCTTCTAAAATAGGGCTGTCTTGTTTTTGAAATACGGTAAAACAGAAGGATCAGAAGGACTACAAACTGTGTAGTCTACTTCTTGGTCTAAAATGGAGACGCAAAAAAAAAAATCACCAAGGGAAAAAAAAAATTAAAAAAGGGAACTGAAGATCAAAGAACCTGCAGTCTTGACTAATTGCGGTGAGTGGAGGTTAACAACCCCAGCAAGGCAGGAGTGAGGCGGATGAAAGCGAGGGCTGGGCTCGGCGGTGGGGAGATAAAGCAGCCACCGCACGGAGCGTGAACTCGGGGCAGCTGCAAGCAGCTGGCTGGGCACTCCAAGCGCCACTCAAGTAATTCTGCTTTGAAAGTCAAGTCCCTGTCTTGAGAACAGGCAGCTTTTTGAGGATTAAAGCGAGCAGGACATAACCTGAGCCTGGGCAAAGGACAGGGATTTCGCTTTCAACTTGGAACACACACTAATAAGAGCAGGTGGCTGGCGGGAGGGAAACACGAGGCAGGAGAGGCAAGAGAGGGAGAATGGATGCCCACAGCGAGCGGAGGCGGGAGGACTCTGGCATTCCTGTGTTCTAATTACTGGTCGGGATAAGAGCTCAAGGGCAGAAGCTTCTAGTGAGAAAAACTGAAGGGAAGTGGGGGGGACAACTTTGAGGCCACATTTCCAAGGTGCTGGCCCAGGGGCTTGAACTTGGGGCCTGGGCACTATCCCTCAGCCTTTTCCCCTCAAGGCTGTAGCTCTCTCGCTTGAGCCACAGCTCCACTTCTGGTTTTCTGGTGGTTAACTGGAGCTAAGAGTCTCCTGGATTTCCTTGCCTGGGCTGGCTTTGATCCTCAGATCTCAGCCTCCTGAGTAGCCAGGGTTCCAGGCGCGAGCCACCGGTGCCCAGCCTACTCAAGATACTTGTAACGGGCTCTACCTCTCCACATGTGTGGCCCCAGTGACATCTTGGGGAGCTATGGCAGTGCAGCCCTGAGGACAGGCGGGGTCCCAATAGAGCACTACTCAGGAAAACCAGTACCTTCCACCTTAGTGGATTGCTGCTTCAGCTTTAAGTTCTTTGCGTGGGTCTTCCCCAGGTAGTGCGACTGGGCCACGACAGGGGAGGAAAAGGTCATGTTACAGATGGGGCAGCACTGGTTCTTGTCTTTGCTTCTGCTGCTCTTCTGGTTGGGAGAGAGAACACAGGTCTGGTCATGCCACGGCTGGCCGGAAAGTCTTCAATGATTCCCCCGCTGCCCAGAGGCTAATGGGCACCTGAAACCCCTGTACACGTTATAACCCCCAACCTACCTTTCTGGATTTTTCTCTAGCTACTTTCTGCTATGATCTACTTCATACTCCCCCTACTACCTAGCATCTTATTCGGTGTCTTCCTGGCTTTTCTTGGTTCATTCTAGAAGGTTCTGCCTTCCTTTCCTGCCCAGTATTATGTCCACTTAATCTTTGAAGGCCCAGTTTTAACTATGAGCTGTTCATCTGGGAAACTTCTTTTTCTGTTGGTCATGGGGCTTTGAACTCAGGGCCTAGGTGCTGTCCCTGAGTTTTTCCCCCGTCAGAGTTAGCGCTCTACCACTTTAAGCCACAGCTCTACTTCTAGTTTTCTGGTGGTTCACTGGAGATGACAGGCTCAGGACTTTCCTGCCCTGGCTGGCTTCGAGCTATGATCCTCAGATCTTAGCCTCCTGAGTAGCTAGGATGACAGGTGGGAGCCACCAGCACCTAGCTGGGAAACTCTTATTTAAAAAAAAAAAAAAATTAATTCAGCAAAGAATTATCAAGCCCCTTTATGTATTCTGGGAAGAGTTAATCTGGCACTCCTCCCAGGGTTACTAGGAGACCTCAGGCATACCTACTGTTACTATAAACAGTGTCTCGCAGTGCGGGCTGGGAGCTCCAGTGCAGGTTTGGATGTGCACTGTTTAGCTCATCTGTTTCCCAGCCCTCCCGCCCTCTGGAGCTGGCCATGCGGTAGACACTGAAGGTTTTTTGGTTTTTCAAAACTGGCTTCAAACTGCAGTCTTCAGATCTCAGTCTCCTGAGTAGCTGGGATTACAGGTATGCACCAGTGGCACCTGGCTGGCTTGGGCGCTTTTGACATTCTGGGCCTGGCGGTTCTTAGTAGGTGGCTGTGCTGGTGGCTACTTAGCCACCCCAAGAGCTGAAGGAACTGATGTACAAGAAGGTGAGGTGACTTCAGAGTACTGTGACTTCTGTGTCCCTGATTGCTACGTCATACTAAGAGTAGCGAGGGATGAGTCCAGTAAACTTCTAAAAGGGACAAGCACAGCCCTTCTATGCAACAGTACAAAAGGAGCCAACAGTGTACCTGTGGAGTACACTGTTATTTATAGAGCATGGACTGGGAACTGGAATTTTACTTCACAATACCTTAAGAGGTAGGAATCATGTCTATGATGTCTGTCTGTCCATCCATCTATCTCTAATGCCTGTACTGGGGCCTGAATTCAGAGACTGGGTGCTGTCCCTTAGCTTTTTCACTTAAGGCTAGGATTCTATCACTTGAGCCACTGCTCCACTCCTGGATTTTTTGGTAGTTAATCATCTCATAGACTTTCTTGCCTAGGCTGGCTTTGAACAGGGATCCCCAGATCTCAGCCTCCTAATTAGCCTCCACTTCTTGAGTGAAGTTCTGAGAGGTTAAGGGACTTGCTCAAGGTCATCCACTCCAGTACAGTGTGGAGCCTGAACTCATCCCATGGTAGGTAACACTTCCCACATTATATCGTACGACCAAGGGACTGAGGCTTGTTCCAACATAATTCTTACAGCAATTCCGAACCAAAGGGGCATATAGTTACTGTGATTATCTCTTAATGAGAGGGGGCATTTGCTTTCTTTGCCTAGTCAAAATATTCGGGTGCTGAAAGTTCTTTTTTCCAGGGCTCTCAAGAAGGAGGCAGCCAGGCTTCTCCTACTTTCTCTTGGGCAGCTCCTCATCCTGTTCCAACAAACCACTGGGTGGTAATGTCTAACTGCTTCATTTACTAGAGTCCCAACCAAGTGCCAGGCTCTGTCCGGTGCTTTCGGGTAAACCTCTCATTTTTAGTAAGCAAAGGCCCTGAAAAGGGAGCTAGCATTAGCATCCTCATTTTTACCGAGGAAGAAACCAAGGCTCAGAGGAGTAGTATGATCTGCCCAAGTTACACAAGGCAGGAGCTGCAGTCTGACTGGGCGCCCACGCTCTCTCGCCACACCAACCTGTGTGCCGGGTTCATCAGGAAGCGAGCGGTCTCAACATGGCCGCTGTATTACCTGATCTGAGTCTAGCCTCTTCGTTTCCCCTTTTAATGTCTCCATTCCATGGATTGCTAGGTATCTCTTCACTTTGTTGGCATGTTTTTTGCTCTGCAAGAACCCAGGAAAAAGATCAAAGATAGCCAAATGCCATTTCTTCTTCTTCTTTGTGGTACTAGGCTTGAATTCAAGGTTTGGTGTTTGCTAGGCAAGTGCTCTATCACTTGAGCTACACCCTTAGCTCCCAAATGCACTCAAAAATGCTAGATTTTTTTTTTTTTTCCCCTTCTGGTGTTAAGGATCGAACCCAGGGCCTTAGGTATTTCAGGCAAGTGCTCTACCATGAGCTTACTTCAGCTCTTAAAAACACTAGATTCAGCTGGGCGCTGGTGGTTCATGCCTGTAAATCCTGCCTACTCAGGAGGCTGAGATCTGAGGATCGCGGTTCAAAGCCAGCCTGGACAGGAAAGTCTTTGAGACTCTTATCTCCAATAAACCGCTCAGAAAACTGGAAGTGGCACTATGGCTCAAGTGGTAGAGCGCTTGCTTGCCTCGAGCTGAAGAGCTGAGGGACAGCACCCAGGCCCAGAGTTTAAGACCCACAACTGACCAAAAAAAAAAAAAACAAAATAAAAAAACCCAAACCCTAAACACTAGATTCATCCTCACAAAAACTTTTGAGGAGGAAAAGGTAAAGGAGAAAGCACAATACTGAGTTTCTACTCTGCAAGGCGCTTTACATGTTACTAAACTGAATCTTCACAACCATTGACAAGAAAACAACCATTCTCTCCTTATATGTGAGCAAACCGAGTCTGAAGATGGTGACGTTTCCTGCACACAAGGAATAGCAGAGTTGTGATTCAAACTGAGGTCTATTTAAAACTAAAGCTCATACGTCCTTGTGTACCGAGCTGTGAGGGAAGATACGCATAGTGATGATTCTGATTTGGATGCGAGATGGGAGAGAGATTTGTTCAAGGCACAAGCCAACATGCATGAAGGCAGGGTCTGCTGGTGTCACCGTGCAAACCAGGGAGCAGTGCAGGCTGGTACGGGGTCTGAGAGGTACAGCATGCCGAAGGCAGCAAGGCATACCTGGTAGTGTGCCAGCTTCTGGGACTCGGAGATCAGCATGGCGCAGCAGACCTTACACTGTGTGTTGGTGAAGAGACACTGGTTCTTCTGGATCATGTGCTCCACTAGAGGGCAGAAGAGAACACCAGAGTTGGCAACAGCAACCTCAGCAGTGCGGTCTTACTTCAAAGGCAGGTACTGAATAACAGAACAAAACCTTTGAACACACTAGAAAAGGTATTTTTAAACCAGGTACCAGTGGCTCAAACCTGTACTCCTAGCAACTCAGGAGGCTGAGCTTTGAGGATCGTGGTTCAAAGCCAGTCTGGGCAGGAAAGGCCGTGAAACTCTTATCTGTAACAAAATGCTCAGTCAAGAGCCAGAAGTGGACCTGTGGCTCAAGTGCTAACCTTGAACAAAAGCAGCTCAAGATTAGTGCCTAGGCCCCAAGTTCAAGCACCACACAAAGGTATTTTATTTTTTATTTTTTTTGGGTCCGGTCGTGGGGCCTGAACTCTAGGCCTGGGCACTGTCCCTCAGCTCTTCAGCTCAAGGCTAGCGCTCTACCTACCACTTGAGCCACAGCATGCGGCTTCCGGCTTTTTTCTTTTTGCTTATGTGGTGCTGAGGAATTGAACCCAGGGCCTCATGCATGCAAGGCAAGTGCTCTACCACTGAGCCACCTTCCCAGCCCCTCATTTTTATCTTTTTATTTGTTGATTGGAGATGAGTCTCACAGGCTTTTCTGCCCAGGCTAGCTTTGAAACTCCATCCTCAAATCTGTCTTCTGAGTAGCTAAGATTACAGATGGGAGCCACTGGTGCGACCTGTTTTTTTCATTGTTGTTGGTTATGGGGCTTGAACTCAGGGCCTGGGTGCTGCCTGAGCTTTTTTGCTCAAGGCTAGTGCTCTACCACTTTGAAGAGCTACTTCTGGTTAACTGGAGATGAGGGTCTCACAGACTGTCCTGCCTGGGCTGGCTTTGAACCATGATCCTCAGATCTCAGCCTCCTGAGTAGCTAGGATGACAGGCATGAACCACCAGACCCAGGGCTCATAGGGATTTTTGTCCCACTTTTTTTCTTATCATTATTCCTTAAACAATATCGCATAACACCTGCTAACTTACCATTTACATTATGATAGGTATTACAGGTAAAGTAGAAAGAATCTGTTAGTTCCTTGTCACTGCATGTAAGGGACTTGAGTCTCTGTGAATTTGGATACACCAAGAAAGTGGTGGATAGAGCATCCAATCTTGGAACTGGTCCCTCTGCACAGTGAGACACTTGTATTCTTTTTTTTTTTTTGCCAGTTTTAGGGCTCAAACTCTGGGCCTCGGCGCTGTCTCTGAGCTTCTTCTGCTCAAGGCCAGTGCTCTACCACTTGAGCCACAGCAACACTTCTTTTTCTGGCAGTTTATTGGAGATAAGAGTCTTATGGACTTTCTTGCCTGGGCTGGCTTCGGACCATGATCCTCAGATCTCAGCCTCCTGAGTAACTAGATTACAAGTGTGAGCCACTGGTACCTGGCTTCAAATGTTTTTATTTCTTCTTGAATCATTTTTCATTTGTGTCTTTCTAGATATTTGTCCATTTCATCTAAGTTGTTTGATTTGCTGACATAAAATTGTTTAAAATATTTTCTTAAAATCCTTTAAATTTCTTCTGGGAGGGCTATTTTTTTTGTTTTAATTAGCACACTTTAATTGTACAAAGGCAGTTCATTGGTATTCCATAATTACATACGCACATATGCCTCAATCAAAATCATTCCTTTTTTTTTTTTTTTTTTGTCAGTTGTGGGGCTTGAACTCTGGGCCTGGGCGCTGTCCCTGAGCTCTTCGGCTCAAGGCAAGAGCTCTACCACTTGAGCCACAGCACCACTTCCAGTTTTCTGGTGGTTCATTGGAGGTAACAGTTTCATAGACTCTCCTGCCTGGGCTGGCTTTGAACCGTGATTCTCAGATCTTAGCCTCTTGAGTAGCTAGAATTACAAGCATGAGCTACTGGTGCCTGGCCATCCCCTCTATTTTTTCCCCCCCTTATCCTTCTCTGTTTTTTTTTTTTTAATGGGTTTTATGATTGTTTTCATACATGCAAATAAACTACTATCTTATTTACCCATTCTCCCCTTTGCCCTCCTCCCTTTGTTAGTCCCTCCCATTGGTACTTTCTTTTTTTACATTCATCTTCTTTTTTTTAAAGGTCAAGACTCCTATGAGAGAAAGCATGAGGTGTTTTATCTTTCTCAGTCTGCCTTATTTCCATTTGATCTTTCTAGTTTCTAAGGTGGAAGCTTATGTTGCTGATTTGTGACTGTGCTTTTCTGATAAAGATAAATTTCCCTCAGTCTCAGCACATTTCACTTGCAGCTTCTTCCCAGTTCTTTTGATCCTTGAGATGTCTAAGTAACTAGAGGAGTAAGAATGTCTGTCTTGTGTTAAACTATTTGGCCTTTTTGTCTTTGACTCCTGAAATAGGCCCAATTCCAGTATTATTAAGGTAGAAAAAAAAATTTCATACACAAAATACAGCCATATCTGTGTTTGTTAATGAGGTGATTTTTGGAGATTACCTAGATAATCACAGGTCAAATCCGAGAAACAGAAGCTACTATAAGACCTCTCCAGGATGGGAAGGGGAAAAAAGGAGGAGGCAGCAATGCTCGATAAGAAATATACTCATTACCTTGCCCATGCAATTGTAACCCCTCTGTACGGTATTTTCACAATAAAAAATTAAAAAATAAAAGACCTCTCCATACTTCATGTCTGTGTGTGTGTGCACGCTCACATATGCACATGCACGCATGCTAGAGCCTGACCTCAGGGCTTAGGCACAGTCCCTTAACTTTTTCCCATAAAGCTGTTCACTTTATCATTTGAACCACAGCTCAAGTTCTGACTTTTGGGTGGTTACTTGGAGATCACAGAGTTTCATAGACTTTTCTGTCTGGGATGGCTTTGAACCTTGAGCCCTTAGAATACAGATTCCTGGGTAATTATGATTATAGGTGCCCAGCAATCTTGATTCTTTTTGGGTCGGCTGTGGGGCTTGAACTCAGGGCCTTGGCACTGTCTCTGAGCTCTTTTTACTGAAGGCGAGCACGCTAACACTTTGAGCCACAGCCTCATTTCAGTTTTTGAGTGATTATTTGGAGAGAAGAGCCTCTTGGGGACTTTTCTTCCCCAGGCTGCCTTCGAACCCTGATTCTCAGACCTAAGCCTCCTGAGTAGCTAGGATGACAGGTGTGAGCCATTGGTGCCCAGCCACCCCCATTCTTAAGACATCCTTCAGTCACTGCATCCCTTACTGGAACTATTTTTGGACTGGGCTGCAATTAGCTGCAGGGCAAAGGGAGCATCTTCCTCATCGTTAGCTCTGATGCCCAGCAGTTCCTATGAACAGAGCAGCCATAAGTGAAGGTCAAACTAATGAAAAAGAAATGAGGTGGAAGGAGGCAACTTTGCACCAAACATATTTAAAGATAGAAGAGGGACTCAGAATCAATATACATATTCATTTAAGAGTCAGGCTAGACTTATTGTTAGATTGGAGAAGTATATATCTAAATTGTCTTTCTTTCTTGGATATGGACATAATTCAATTTTAACCAGGGTGATCCTCTCTCCTTTTCCCTCTCCTCTCTCTCAGCTTTCTAAGATTAGTATGCTCAGCAAAGAAACCACTAGAGAAATCTGATTTCCCTGCAGTTAGATATTTAACAGGATTAGCAAAAGAGCCCAGATATAGTTCCTGTACATCTGCATTAGCTAGCTCAGGAAAGAGCCCTGAAAAGGGCTACACAACCAGATCAGGCCAGCTCTTACCAAAGTCTTCTTTTTGCCTCCCATGTTTTCTTAGTGTCCCAGTTCACATTCAGAGCAAAGCCAGGAAGCTGCAGCCCAGAAGTGATTCCCTACCCGATCTGGATGACACTCGTTCCCTACAAGTCTGCCTGAAGCGTAAGATACAGAGCAGGGGGTGGGAGCTAGTGGCTTCTCCCCTGTCATTCTACTTAGGAGGCTGAGATCAGAAGATCAAGGTTCGAAGCCAGCCCTGACCGTCAAGTCCAGGCTAATCCCATCAACTAGCAAAAAGCTGGAAGTGGAGCGTCAGCCTTAAACAACCCCTGCTCCCCCAAAACACCTAGCGGACAGGACCCAGGCCTTGAGGTCAAGCCCCAGGAAGGGCACAAACAAGACCCCAGCAAATAAAACAAAGCTGGAGCCAAACTACACCTCGAGGCCAGTTTCTCGGCCACCTGGCCCACATCTTGGAAAATTGAGGCCAGCCGGGGGCCAGGAGGAACATGGGATGGGGATTGGGGGGGGGGGGGGGGAATGGAGATGGCTTCTAGATCTTTCAGAAGTGTAGGCCTGGAGAGAAGGAGGGGAGGCGAGCAGACGGGGGGGGGGGGCCGTGGGGACAGGCAGGGACGGGGAAGAGAGTCGGGAATCTGCGGGAGGCTCAGAGCCAGTCCTGGAGTTGGGAAGAAGCTGCAGTTCGGTCGTTGGAGGAAGGAAAAAAAAATAAAAGAGAACAAGTTAACCTCGGGCAGCCCGGTGCGGGGAGCGGGCCGGGCCGGGCCGGGGGGAGGCGGGCCGGGCCGGGCCGGGGGGAGGCGGGCCGGGCCGGGCCGGGCCGGGCCGGGGGTGTGCCCGGAGCCGCGGGGGCCCCGCGCAGGGCTGGGCTGTGTGTGTGTGTGTGTGTCCGGGGCCGCGGGGGCCCCCGGCTTCCCTTCATGCTCCGCGAGGGTCCCGGATGACGAGCCTCCCCCCCCCCCCCCCCCCCGCCCCGCGGCCCGCACGCGCGCGCGCGCGACCCCGACTCACCTTCCTCCCTCCCGACCGGCGGCGCGCCGGACTCGGCTTCCCACGGGCGGCGCGCCCTCTCGCGGTCGGAGCGCGCCCCGTCCGGCCCCCGGCCCTCGCGTTCCTCCGAGCCGTGGTACGGCCCGGCCGCCCCGCAGCCCGCGGCCGCCGTCGAGCCCGGCGCGGCGAGCTCCATCTTTCCCACCCCCCCCCTCACCCCTCCGCCCCCTGCCCCCAGCGCGCCTCGGCGGCGGCGGCGGCGGGCGGGGAGGGAGGGGGAGGGGAGAGAAGGGGACGGGGGGGGGGGGCTGCGCATGCGCCTTGGTATCGCGACAGACAGGAGGCGGGGCTTGGCCGCGCCGGCGAGCCTCGCGAGGTTTGGGGCGCGGCCAGCCCGGGTCGCGGCGCGGGGGGCCGGCGCGGGAGGCCGGCGCGGGGCGGTGCTGGGCCTGGCGGCCTCCAAACCGGTCGCTGAGATCGCCGTTTCACGGGCAGAGGACTTGAGGCCCAGCATCTAGAAACGGTTGCGCTCCAGGGGTTCGCGACTAGGGTGGATGGTTCTGCAGTCGTATCTGGATTGTTGCTCGCAGTGGGGAGCGCTGGGGGGGGGGGGCGGACACGAGTTCGAGACCAGGCCTGGCTGCCTTCTACCCCCCCATGTGCCATCCAGAGGCCAAACCCTACCTCACACTTGAACCAGAGGTTTGAGACTCCAGGCCCGAGTTCCAGGGGTCTCCCCCATCAGGCCTCTCCAGGCACCCCCTAACTTGTCAAAGAGACTCAGGGTGAAGGGCGGGGGTGAAGTGACCTGGGTGCAGACACGAGTTGGGGGTTTACTCAGAGAATTAGGGAAGTGAGGAGGGCAGGAAGAGTGTGTGCCAGACAGTACGGGGGTTGGAACTCAGGTCCTCACTCTCTCATTTTGCCTTTTTGTTCACAGCTGGTGCTCTGCCACTTGAGCCACACCACCACGTCAAGCTTTTTGCTGTTCATTGGAGATAAAGAGTGTCACGGGACGTTTCTGTACCCGCTGGCTTCAAACCTGAAGTCCTCAGATCTCAGGCTCTTGTAAGTTGCTAGGATTGTAGGCATGAACCACCAGCAATGCGTAATTACTAAAACAACCTTAGTCAACGTATGGCCTAATTTATTTATATATTTATTTTGCTAGTTCTGAGGCCTGAACTCTGGGCCAGCCTTGAGCTCTTCAGCTCAAGGCTAGTGCTCTACCACTTGAGCCACAGCACCACTTCCAGTTTTCAGGTGGTTCACTGGAGATGTGTCTCATGGACTTTCCTGCCCAGGCTGGCTTTGAACCGCGATCCTCAGATCTCAGCCTCCCTGAGTAGCTAGGATGACAGGCGTGAACCACAGGCACCCGGCTAGTTGGTCATTTTTTTTTAAATCCCTATTTCCAGATGGGTCCAAGTTACAGTCTATGGGTTTCTTGTCATGAAGATGTTAAACCCATTTAGTCCTGACCCTCCCAGATTTCAACATTATTACAAAGTGATGGCAGAGAGAAGGGCTTAGAGCAGAGACATACAAATGCAAATGCAGGCTTAGCCTCTTTTTTTTTTTTTCCGTGTGCCCAAGTAGTGATTTTCAGCAAAAACAACTATGAAGCACCTTTTACAAAACCCTCTCCTAAAGTTCAAATTTATGTATCTTGTTACCTATTTGAGAGTGTCTATTTGAGAGACATTTGGATGTCTAGTAGGCTTTTCCAACATCTACTGGTAGGCCCTGCTGAGATTTTAAGTGTTTTAAGTTCAACTTGGAGCATCAAACTCTGGCTGGGCATTTTTGCTCAGGATTAGCACTCTACAACTGAAACTGTGCCTCCAGTTTGTTTTTGTTTTGCTAGAATTAACAAGAAGAGTATCTCAGATTTGTTTGCCTACTCTGGTTTAGAACCACACTCTTCAGATTTTCAGCCCCCGAATAGTTAAGATTACAGGCATGCTTCACCACATCTGGCTTATTTGTTGAAATGGGAGTGTCTTGCTTTTTCCCTAGGTTTGCCTGAGACCCCATTATCCTTCTGATCCCTGCCTCTTTAGTAGATGGTATTACAGACTTGAGATACTGTGCCTGGCCTACCTTTTCTTATATGGAAATGGAAGCATATTATGTATATTGTACCTTTGTTATTTTGTCGGTCATGGGGCTTGAACTCTGGGCCTGGGCGCTGTCCCTGCGCCCTTCAGCTCAAGGCAAGCTCTCTACCACTTGAGCCACAGCACTGCTTCTGGTTTTCAGAGTGGTTTATTGGAGTTAAGAGTCTCAGGGCTGGGAAGGTGGCTCAGTGGTAGAGTGCTTGCCTCACATGCATTAGGCCCTGGGTTCGATTCCTCAGTACCACATAAGCAGAAAAAGTCGGAAAAGGCTGTCAGGGCTGGCTTTGAACTATGATCCTTAGATTTCAGCCTCCTGAGTAGCTAGGATTACAGGTGTGAGCCACTGGTGCCTGACCTTGTGTATTCTATCTTTAGAAAGTTTTATTTGGGCATAATTAATGTGCCATAAAATTTACCTATTTTAAGTGTACTCTCAATGATTATTAGAGAATTGCATAACTGAAGACAAACTGCAGGACCACTTCTTACTAAAGTTACTTGGCTGGTAGTTAAAATACTGTTAAGAATGCTAATTTTATGAGAAGTCTCTGTGTGTGTGTGTGTGTGTGTGTGTGTGTGTGTGTGCTGGTCCTGGGGTGTGAACTCAGGGCCAGATTGCTGTCCCTGAGCTGTTTTGGCTCAAGGCTAGTGCTCTACCACTTGAGCCACAGTGCCACTTCCAGCCTTTTCTGAGTACTTTATTGTAGATGAGAGTCTCCTGGACATCTGCCTGGCTGCCTTCAAATAGGATCCTTAACTCTCAGCCTCCTTAACACCTAGGATTACAGGCCTGAGCCACCAGTGTCCTGCTGATAATCTTTCTTCTAAGTATTCGTCCTTTTTTTTTTTTCCCTTTTAAGTGCTGGAAGCTATTCTGTGTGGGCTATTTGACCATTTGATTGACAGAGGTAAGACTCTGCCCAGAACAAAACACAATGGCTGCCCCAGGCTGGGCAGGGGGAGAGGATATGTTGAAACCAGTATTGTTAGTCCAGGGGGACTGTGAATGCCATGACTGCGACATGTGAAGGTTGAGACCAAGGGGCAGCCATTCTTCCAGCTGCTGCCAGGACAATCACAGCTGGGGTTTTTGTTGTTTTGCCCAGTCTTGGGGCTTGAACTCAGGGCCTGAGCACTGTCCCTGAGTCTCTATGTGCTCAAGGAGGCTGAGATCTGAGGATGGAGGCTCAAAGCCAACCTGGGCAGGAAAGTCCGTGAGACTCATCTCTAATGAACCACCAGAAAACTGGAAGTGGCACTGTGGCTCTAGTGGTAGAGTGCTCGCCTTGAGCTGAAGAGCTGAAGGACAGCGCCCAGGCCCAGAGCTCAAGCCTCACAACTAACAACAACAAACAATGAAGGAACAAACCCCACAAAACTCCCTGGCTGCCCCAGGCAGCTCTGATCCAGCTGTTGACACTGGAAGAGAGATCAGCTGTGGAACCTCTCCGGTGATCATGGCCGCTGTCTGGGCTTCTATGATGGCTTCAGATGACCTTTGCGGTGACTTTGCCTGGAGCCACTGCAGACCTCATCCCGATAGTCTTCAACCAAGTTAGGGAGGAGCAGTATGTCACCTGCTATGACAACTCCTGTGCACGTGTGACAAGCTATATAATCGATGCTCCTCCTACCCTCAGGATGGCAGTCTAGAGACCGACCTTTTGCCAGTGCGCTGCGGCATAAGTCCCCTCTCCTCTTAATCGGAGTGCTTTTATTCTCTCTTGTTGGTCTCTTATCAGAGTGGGCCACATGAACAGATGACTCCTAGCTCTAGGCTCACCAAGCAGCCGCTAGAGGGCAGCAGAAGAGTTCTGGAGAGTGGCAGGGGCAGAGGCTGCAAAAACCTGAGACTGAAGGGCCACAGAAGTGCAGAGAAGCGTAGGGACTATGAGGAACGGAGGCTGAAGAGCTGCAAACCCCAGCCTCTGCAAGAGTCCTGGAAAACCACCCCAAGTTTTGAGTCCAGCTTCTGAGAGCAGCAGGCCAGGGTCGTGACGGAGCTGAAGGTCTTGACACCTACGTTTGAAGCTACAACACTAGCTGCTCCCTACTGCTCCACTGTCAAAACCAAGAGCTGAAGCCAGGTACTAGTGGCTCACGTCTGTAATCCTAGCTACATAGGTGGCTGAAATCTGAGGATCCTGGTTCGAAGCCAGCCTGGGCAGGAAAGTCTGCAATATCTTATTCCCAATTCACCAGCAAAAGCTGGAGGGGGAGGTGTTACTCAAGCGATAGAACAAATTTGTAACACAACAAATTCAGAGATAGTGCCCAGACCCTGAGTTTAAGCCTTAGTACTTATGTGCAAGGACATGGGTGCGCATGCGCACACGCACATACACATGTACACACCCACACATAAAATAAACCCAACCCAACCCAACAATCCCCGAAGCTGTAACACACTAAGGTAAATTGCTGCTGATGCCTCCAAGCCTAGAATTGAGGACAGAGCAAAAGAACTCTCAGCCACTTGGTGATATAGCACCCTTTAATTTTAGAATATTCCTGTCATTCCCCAAAAAGACACCCTGTGCACTTTTGCATTGCTTATTTCCAGTCCCAGATCTAGGCAACCATTACTCTATTTTGTCTCTGTATACAACAACTCATGACTTATTTTTTGTTGGCTGTGGGGCTTGAATTTGGGGCCTGGGCATGGTCCCTGAGCTCTTTCACCCAAGGCTAGCTCTCTAACACTTTGAGCCACAGCACCACTTCTGGTTTTCTGGTGGTTTATTGGAGATAAAGTGTCTCACAGATTTTCCTGCCTAGACTGGCTTTGAACCCCAATCCTCAGATTTCAGCCTCCTGAGTAGCTAGGATGACAGGTATGAGCCACTGGTATTCCCACTTTCATTAGATACTTTATAAAGAACTAGAAGAGTTCAAAGGTTCCTATAACATATAGACATGAATGTTAAGCCATCACTTACACGTTCAAGGCCAGCCTTAAGCACCTGGCTTAAGATTCTGTCCTAAAAAAAGAAAAAATGTTTAAGGATATGAACATGCTAATTACTGTGGCTTGGTAATTACACACTATATTTTATTTCTGTAGATATACATTTGT